AAAAAGACATGAGAATTTAAAGCATGCAAGAAATTCAGTGAGATATGTACTTCTTTGATACAGTCTCAAGCTCTGCCCTATGCTGAATGAAGTCACCATCACAGCTATGAACTTTTAAGTCACATTTCAACTACAGAGTTGAAACTAAACACCCAGAGAACACAAACACTATGCTAGGTCTCCGTATTTGAATTTGAGAAGAGTACTCTGACTGTTCTCTGATACAGTAAGGAATCTGAGAATACAGAGAAAGCAAGCTTCACTTATGATCCTTTAACCTATATTCAGTAGAGATTCACATACAAAATAACTAAATGCGTATTGGTCTTGCCAGGCTCTTTGTGTTCACATCTGAACATTTTTCTCAAATCCATATTCATCCACTTGGAACTTTGCTACTCATATTCACAAGTTCCTTCCACAACGTTACTTACAATGAATACCTACTCCTACTCTTTTATGTCTCCAACCTTTTCACTCCTCTCATTTTATATTCAGTTCCAATGTTTTCCCAACAGACTTACACACAGAGGACACCAAAACAAAAATGCCCTCCCTCAGTACTCGCCAATAAAATAGTTTTAAATGTCTTTGCAAGAGACTGACTCCTAAGAATCACATTTGGAAAATGCAGCTCATCAAAAATATTCAGCACATCACAGCTTTTAAAAAGAACAATCCCAACACAGATCATCTAAAGAACCTGAATAAGGAAGAAAAGTTCTTAATTTTTGCCTACAGAGAAGGCTATCTCAAAGTTCTCATGAAGACTGCCTGAAAGAGCATATGCTCAGCAGCACCATAAATTGTGCCATGAATGCTCTCATCCCTGCTCACACAATGATTTACTCTTACTGCAATGTGAAAGAAAAATTTGGCCGGTTCTGTCAGAAACAAACAGAGCTGGCAAACACAGACCACAAGACTAAGATAAGAGGCTCTGGACAGAGGATAGGGTTGAGTTCACGCAATTGCTGAGCTTGCCTAGGAGAGAGGTGTTCACATATTTCAGGGATAGGAACAAAATTGCAAGAATGACAAGATGAAAGGGCTACTTAAACAGAAAGCAAGCAAAATGCAGCACATGTAGTGGTGCTCACATGAAGTGCCACACTTTTTTTATAGTATGTGAGGTCGTAGTGGGAAATACAAAAAGCAATGTTACTGCAAGTGAACCAGGAGAAGTAAAAATTTCTGGGACAGCAAATCTGAAATGTGCTCACTGAGAACCAGGAACTGTGGACACTAAAAAGAAAAAGTCTCTATTCTTCTCGGGGAAGAAGAGGAAAGGCACCAGTCTTTTTACAGCTGGAATGCCTACAGAAGACACTAGGTGACGCAGATTAATACTGCTTAACTACTTTTCTGTCAGATGAGGAACAGTTCCACTGCAATCCAGACAAACTGGTTGGACATCAATCAACAAAATACTTGAGGTGCAAAAGGGCTTCCTTTCTTTCTTTTCCCTTCCCACCGTTTTTAAAGAGCTGCTGCTGCTAACATTTTACTGCTATTGAAGACAATAAAGCCCTAGCCTTCGCTGTTCTGACAAACAGAATCAGCAGAGGGCACCAAAAAGCAAAGGGAATTTCAGTGATCTTTCAAAGAGCTTAGTAAAACAGGAAACTACCCATTCCCAAGTGAAGCTGAAGAGTAAAAACCATGAAAATCATCCTCATAAATCAGAGACCTAGACAAGCCTTGCCCACAAGAGAATTTAAATATGCCACGTTAGATTATTTAACTTGATATAGATGCTTACATAGAGAAGAAACCTATAAGCTGTATTTCTGCATGAACGGGTTAAGTCAAACCTATCTTCCCAGAAGTTTCAAGAATCAGTCCTCCACAGTCAAAACAACTCTCTGACTAAAAATAGGAAAAGAAGAAATTTCACATCCTACCTGTACCCTTATTCCTACGTTTCAAATCCCTCTGGGGAAAGGGGTGGGGGTGGTGGAGCTACATACAAAGACTAAGTCAGAGAACCTTTAGAAGTCTAAGACTTGCTCTGTACAAAATCTCATTAGATTCACTAGGAATTTAGCCCACGTAGTTTCCATGGACAAACATGTACGACAGCTCTGAAATGCAACAAGACTACAATTTAAGTTTCAATTCAATAATAGGCCTGAAGAAGTAACTTGTCTTCGTAACTGCACCATTTTTTATACTCTAATAAAGCTTGCATAGAGGCCTTTTAATTCTTAAAGGCTTTATTAAGAGAGTTGAAAAAGTAACTTGACTTCATCAACAAAATCACTTTAAATCATATAAATTATCTCCTGTTATGTCAATAAACCATATTGAAAAAATGTATTTACATAAGCTGATGCATAAACTTCACAAATCATAATAGCACTGATGCCACTGATGTCAGCTTCCAAGCCAAACCATATCTTTCACAAAAAGAGAAGACAATTATATACTGTAGCTCCCACGCCACTGCAGGTAGAAAGCAAGGACTGATCAACTTGCAACTTCAATTTAGTATTTATTATACTTTTATTAAAAACATCGAAGTGAACCAGCAAATAAAGTTTAACCTGCTCTATAAGTCAGAGAGATGACAAAGGAAGTTTCACATAGGAGAACACTGAGATGCCATATTTATAAGACCCTTTTATTTATATACAACTTCTCTTCTTGCAATTACCACTCTTAACAAGTACTATCTGCTGGTAACAAATCCCTGGAAACCTTCTTCACACTAGTATTCTATGTACGCATAGGTTTTTTTCCTAGAGATTTGGTGATCAAAAACGTTATCAACTTTCACTAACCATTATATCTGCCATAGCATCTATTTGCTCTCCTGTCTCATACCTAATCCTCTAACGACTGCACCCTTCCTTTTTCTTACCACACACACAAGTATCCCTAGGGATTTTTTTCCCCTCTTTCTCAGAACAAGCCTCTAATACCACAGCTGCAGTACCCCCTTGAAGGGAAAAAAAGTTTGTATTTTTCATTCTTGTAGTGCTATGAAGCAGTTAAGGAGACTGTTGGGCCAATAAACAGCAAAATCCCCAGGATGTAGATAAATAAATCTGACAACTGAAAGCAAAGTAGTTGCCTCGGTGAATGGCATTTAAGAATGAGCATGTCAGCAACACCTAATCAAGTTGTAAGCAATACCTGAATAAGGCAGACTATTAGTAGTATCATTCATCTTACCATTCCAGTTGCCTCACTATATATTTGAAGAACTTACTAGAACATTATGCATTTGCTCCAAATACTACTCTCAAAAATCCATTTCCAAATCCAAATGCTATACATTCATAAACATTCTCATGGCTTACAGTTCAATGAACTTCTGTGTAACTCATAAATAAATTAAATAACTTAAAATGGATGTCTCCAGAAAACATCTCAACGCATAATCAGTTTTAAAATACACTTCTTGAGGAAACAAGAAGCATCCTTCTGGTCTTAAGTATAATAAAATCCCCTTCACTCTATACAGGAGTAGGAATTAATTTATATATACTGAAAAATACTAACAAAATGCCCTAAAATGTATGCTTGCTAACATCGATGCTTCCTTGAACAGTTGTTCTTTCTCAACTAACTTGAGAGGATTAAAGACACCTAGAAACTTCATTTTAGTTCGAGAATGGAAGTACAATCGGCTGTTTGGTGCTTCAGAAATATTTGCTACCTCCTTGCATGCAGCACATGGAACCTGCATGTCGTCTCAGGAACACCACAAAGCAAGTCAGTTCTGGATAATCAGTTGATTTTTAGGTTCCAGTTCTACCTTTTGCCAAAGCAGATAAAGCAATTTTAACAGGTTCAAATGCTTATGTTCCCCGAATTAACCTCGCCGAGGTCTCGTCCACCTTCCTTGCAGGCTGCTGCGGGCACACGGGGCCGCTCAGGCTTCCCTGCGGCGACCTCACGCCCAGGCCGCGCGGTCTCCTTCACCCTCTACCTTTACTAACAGGAGCCCAACAGAGCCGGGTACTGCACGAAGCCGCCCCGGGGCGCCTTATGCCCTACTGCCGGAAGATCGCTCCCTTCCCCACCTCGGCTGCCGGTCTCAACGCTGCCGAGTCGGGGGGACCAGGCGGTGCCGGCGAGGCCCCGCCCCGAGCGGGCCCACCGCCCTCCTCCACCCCTACCTGCCGTCCCCACGCCGGTACCTGGGGCCGCGGGGCACGGCGGGGCCGGGCCCCCGCCTCTTCCGCGCGCCCCGCAGTCACCGTCAAGGCTGCCGCGCCGCCTTCTGTCGTGTCGGCCGGGGTGTCCCCTGCTGCCGCCCGGGCCGCGCCTCCACCGCCTGCCCGCGCGATCGCTTCCGGGAGCGTCGGCCCGGCTTCCCCCGCCCATCACAGGGCGAGTCCCCCGCGCGCCCCTCGGCCGTTCTGCGTCCGCGACGCCGTCACTCGCTCCCGCGGCCCGCGACCGCCGCCGCCCGCCATGTTCCGCTCCTCCGGGGCGCCGCGGCCCCGCGCGCACCCCGCCGCCGGCCGGTGACGTCACTCTTCAGCCGCCCCAGCCCCGCGAGGCGGAAAGGAGCTAGCCCCGCCCCACAGGCAGCGACGCGGGGCGTTCTTTGTTTGCACCTGGGGGCGGCAGGGGGGGCGGCAGGGGGGTCGGCCCGCGTACGTCACCGCCACGGCCGGAAGACGAGGCGAGGCAGCCGACACACGCGCCGGCGGGACAACCCGGCACCCTTCAGCGCCTGCGCGCTGGCGCGAAAGCCGCTCTCCCCTTCCCCTGGTCAGCGGCCGGGGGCAGGGCGGCCCCGCCCCCTTTTAGTTTCGGTTTCTCGCTCCGCGCCCCGCCTCGCGCCCGCTGCCCGCGCAGCGGCAAGGCCGGAAGCAGGGCGCAGGTGGGTGCTGTCCCCCCAGCAGCGGGGGCTGCGCCTGCGCCGGGTCCCTTCGGGGGGCGGGGCCAGGCGGATTCCCGCTCCGACGGCGCCTCCCCGCCCCGCCGCTGCTCCGCCCGCCGCCGCTCTAAACGAAACGGAGCGACCAGTCGCCGGCAGCTTGCGGGTGAGCCTGCGGGGCAGCGCGAGACTGAAGGGCCCGGCAGGAAGGAACCCCGAGAGGCGGGCGGGAAGCAGGCCTGCGGGAGGGCCGCGCCTGGGGCGTACGTGCTGCCGCCACCGGCGGGGTACTCGCCGGAACGGGGGGCACTAGGGGCTCTCTTCTCAAAAACGAAGCATCATAAAAGCCATCGAGCCTCTCAACAACGGCCGCCTGACGTCTGCTCAGCTCATACTTAGGGCTCTGGATTTTCATCTGCTTTCGTGATGCGCAGGAGGGGGTGAGACCGACTAGAAAAAGTCAACAGAACCCACGTGAGCAACGTCACCTGACCTCTGATGAGTCATCAGAGCAACACGATCAACCTTTTGCTACCAGTGCTACAGGGAGACTATCTCTTGATGCAGAACTGCTCAGCAAAGGGAACAAATGAGGTATCGAAGAACTGATTTACTTAAGCTGTTCCCCCTAAATAAGATGTCATCACCCTAACTATTTCCACCTATCAAAACTACCTCCATTCTCTCTACTTCGGTCTAATAAATGTTTCCCCAAATGTGATCCAGGAAAACAAAATAAACCATCTGCTGTAGATACAAAGAATTAATGCTCTAAAGTTAGAGACAATTCACCAGGCATGAAAGTGGTTTAAAATCAGTAAATTATATTCTTGCAGCTGCCAGATGTGAAATGAAAAAGGTATGAATCTACTCAGTAAGAATAGGCAGAATTAACTAGGGGGAGGGGCAGACGACACATACAAAGAGGAATAAATTAGTGCTGTCCTAACTGGACAAGAATTTTTTTCCAGTTTTGGAAGTGGAGAGGGGAAAAGAAATTCCTTCTAATATTCCCATTTTTCTACATATTGTCCCCCACAAGAGGCGCATATAATCATATTTTATAGAGCACATATAAATATGTGTGATGGCCCTTAAAATATCTGAATTCCTGATTAATTTTGAGTTCAGCTATGGATGAGTCTGTTAGGCTTATCCTACCTAACTGCACAATCCAAAGAGGAAAACAAAGAACTGGATCTTTTTTTTTTTAGAATTAGAACTTGTAAAATACTTCCCCTCTTGTGAAAAACATCTTTTTGAAGAGTTGACAGCCCTCTGGATTACAGACTGAGGACTGGGTGCCCATTGAGACAGACAAACGTGAGTAAGTTCAGGAACAAGAAATTACTAAAGAAATGGAAGATCTACTAACTATAACTAAGAAATTCAAAGGTTAGAAATAGTGAATCAAATCATGTAGTTATGTATTTCGGTCATAAGTACCAAGCAAAAAGAAATTCCTTACATTCTATAAGAAAGCAAGTCTAATAGGAATAATACTATGAAAGTAAAATAACTGAAAGTAAGCTAAAAAGGAGTAAAGCAAGGTAAATATTTAGAAATAATAGTAATTTCCAACTCCTTAATGGTAGTGAAAAAATGCCATTGGATTGGTCCCATGGTGCTTTTATTTTTTAATTACTACTGGGTGGTTGATTTGCTTTTTAACTGCATGAGAACGAAGGAATAAGTAACTTGATGACATCTCTGAAAAGAGATGTCCCAGGAGTAGTTAAGAGTTGCATCTTTGGAGTTTCTTTTCAAATTGAGCAAGTGTCCTTTAATGAAAGTACACCACTGGTGAAACAAGCACCCAAAGGACAAAAAGTATTTTTAAAGCTAAATAAACTGAATATGATTGAAAGGCTCTGCAGGATAATATACTTGCAGCTATCTTTCTGTTTTACTCTAGTAGGAAACCACTGCTTGGACATTAAAGCGAAGTAATATTCCAAGGAATAATAGTTCCCTGTTACAAATACCATTCCTTAAATGCTGTGCTTTGTAAAGAAATTTACTCTGTTCTGTTATTTAATATTTTAAGAACGACAATTCCAGCTTTAAGTATTTCATTCATTTAAAAATCATAGGTATTAAACACATACAGCATGTTACACTTCAAAGAAAAATCCAAGAAATTACAAACATGTAAAAAGGGTCCCCTGACTCATGCACTGAGGCTTAAAAGCTCCCACCTCCAAAGCAGCAATTATTTTAAGATGTACCTCAATTATAACAACTTTGCAAAACCAGGTAAAATGGGAAATTTACTCTGTATCTGTGCTATAATAGATCTTTTTATAAAAGAAGAGGCAAAATACTGGTTTCGGTGCTACGAAATTAAACGGGTTCTTGGTACTACCAATAATGCTCTCAACAATGACACATCCTTAATGCAGTGAGGCCACACATGAAAAATCTTAGACTTTGGTTTTCTGCTGATGTCACTGAACATGAATTCAAGTTCTCATGTGCCAAGTCAACAAAATCAAGTAATTGGGTTGGAAGCCGGGGAATTGTTTTCATTAAGGTTGCAACATTCCCTTAGCATGTGTGGTATAGAACTTTTGTCATGCTGTTGTCCAGGAAATGAAGGCTGGGCTTGTGGACAACCTACTGTAAAATATATGCAGATTGCGAGTCAAATAATATCCTCTACATTTCTCCTGTAATGCAAAAACTGATCACACACAGCCAGGCACAGAGTGGTAAATTATTTCACTGAAACATGCATATTGAATAATCAAAGAGATGCCAAACTATTCTGAAGGCATGCTTTTCATAAAGTTTCTAGTATGAATACAAAAAAGTCTAACAATTAATAAAAATTTTTAGATAAATAAATCAGTGAAATCAGGCATTTCACCTTTAAATGATATTCCTACCAAAATGAACAGATGCTGTCTCTTAGTAATGGCAGAATAAATCAGAACTCTCTTTTTCAAAGTAATTCACACTGGAAGCTAAAAACCAGTTCACAAACTGACACAAAAACATAGGCATATGTGAAATACAAGCAGAGAGTGGTAAAGAATTGCAACTGTACCCTAGTACTGTAACCAACTGCTTTAGGAAGCACTACTTATGGTTAAAAAAAAAAGTATATCCATATACACAAGCCCTTCAAAAAATTAAAAAACAGAACAACAGACATCCAGTCGGCCTATACCCCCCAGGGACACTAACTGAGCATTAGTGCTCTATCTTTTCTTTCAAAACAAGAGCACAGAGTTCAGTGGCGTATCTGAGAAGAACATCGATGTCTGTTCTGAAGATTGTTCACTGTTTTGCCAAACAAGTGGTCATTTTAATCAAGGGATCAACTAGAATTTCCTATAAAATGCAAGGCAAACAGCTTCATGTATTCTCACAGAAAAATAAAAGCTCTTACCAAATAAAATTGACTTTTGAGGGAAAACATATCTTTGAAATATACCTAAAACACATTCTTTCTGCTTTTTATACTAGCTCCACTTTAGTCAGCTCTTCAGTTGGGAATTCTCATTTGGTGCAGAATCCCACCATCCTGACATACACAAAAAAGTAAAGTTGTGGCCCAGTTCCTCTATCAATATGGAGGCAGGTAGTGTGCCAAACAACTCAAAAGGCTATGCACTCTTCTGAAATTTAAAGCACGTAAGCTGCCACACCCCTTCCTACTCCCTCCCCTCAAACCTGTGAAGCACCTAACAAACAGAATTTGCAACAAAACTTAAAACAGTTTTAATTACCCTGACATGAAATAAAACTAAGGGAAGACAATCAAACACGGAGGTGATCTTCCATGTAATGACAGAAAAGGAAGAATGTTAAAAGGGAATGCCAATGTTTAGTTGGTGCACTAGGATGGCTCTGAAATGACATTTCCCCCACCTGCTCTTTACCAAAGAATCTTCCAGGAACAGAGGGCACAAGGACCAAAACCAAAGCAGTGAATACTATTGAAAATAGTTAACCAGTTAATCAACTGGAAACTTAAAATAATTTAGCCATCTTCTGGATAGCATGTTTGACTAATACCTGTAGGTTAAACCAGCCCCCAAATCTAGGATGGTACCTAAAAATAAAATTAAATTTTTTAAAAAAGGAGGGAAAACAGAGTGAGAGGGGAAAAAAAAAGGAGGCAGCAGAGCAGTAAAAGAAACTTGCACTGAAAACGAATCTAGCTCTAGGATAAGCTGGAACAACTATAAAATTAACTTGATCCACTATTTCAAAACACATGGATTTGTGCACTTACCAAAGCATTGCCACACTTTCCAAGAAAGATCATTTAAAATTTGACAAATACATGCCCTTTTCCAGGCACGTCAAGCCAAAAAGTTAGTTTACTATAAAGTGGCATACTTGCAAACAATGTGATACATGTTACATGTTGAACTAATGTTAATCAATTTGCATTATTTACAGACAGTGAGGCTTAAGGTAAAACCATAAACAATAACAAGAACATGAAAGCAAGTCTCACAAGCAGTTCAATGTCAAAACTTTTCCCTTTGTATGCCACACTTCCAGTACTGATCCAAATATCGTTGAACATTTAACAGCCAGCACTCTACTGCCTCAAAGCAAGCCAATCTGAGCATGTGTCAAAAAAAGGTTAGGAAAATGCTTGCACACTACTAGACAGGTTGGTATTTTAAGGCTGCAGCACTGAACAGAAGCTTCCTATCTATAAAATCTTAAGTTCCCTGCTCCAAAACAGGAAAATACAGCTACTGCAAAAAGCCTTTGAACACTTAGCTAGGCTCTAACCTCTAAAGTCAGAAGCAAGAAGACATCCTACCTTACCTAAAAGGTAGCAAAACCATTGCTTTCTCTGTTAACTGAGGGTGTCAATATGGCAATTCACAAATGTTTAGAATACCAAAGGAATACAAGCAAAAAGAAAAGCACAGTACTAAAGACAAATTTCTCCTTAACTGGCTAAAGGATTGTCTTGAGTAAAATATTTTTCTTAATATGCTAGAGACAGTTCAAACAGTAACCCTGAAAACTGGCTGCTATACCTGATTGTATAGTAAAAGCAATACATAAAAAACCCCAATGCATATGCATCTTGTGAAGGAAACATTTATGTAAGCCTCACCTTGTCACCGTCATCATTACAAATATGATCTTGATGGATTGAGTGGCATTGAAAGGATGTACCAATGCTACCTACAAAGGGGGGGGGGGGGAGAGAAAGAAAAAAAACATTAAAATGATAACCCAATTCCAGTGAAAGCTAAAAATAAAGACAAATTTAGCAAACATTCTTTTTTTCCCCACACAGAAGAGAGATTTAGTTGCCAAACAGCTATGTCTGACAAGTCATGCATGCAATTCTGGTAATGAAACAAGCATCAGAGGCACATTTTGCACAGTCTACCAACAATGTCTTCACATATATATTTTTTCTAAACATTTAACAGAATAAAATTAGAACTAGTTCATCAGTCTAAACCAAACATATGCAGTGAAGTACATACACACACATATAAATAAGGAAAAGCTACACACTTCATGTTTAGGCAGTGGAGCCCTGTCCCATATCCTTTACTACAGAAAATTTCAGCACCCTGGGTAGCCACAAAACAGCACTTTCCAGTGCTATGTTAAGAATAAGAGAGTGGAAAAATCCAAGGTCAAAGCAGAAAAGTTTTAACAATACCCCTTCTTGTTTACAGTGGAATTTTTGCCTGCTTAAGGTCCTTCCACAGTTTTCTTTATGTCTAGGAAAAAAAGCACATCTCTACAAAGGCTTACCCCAGTCCTGAGACTTCTGGCCAAGGAGGAAGACAAAACTAATGTTTGACTCTATCCATACAGATTCTCAAACAGATTTACAGAACTCTTACTCACACTGTAAAGTTTTATTTAATGTGCTGTTTCCTTGCTCAGAAAGTACAGGAGTGGGGTAACTGCTGTTGTTGAATTTATGCTTCCCTAAGATGACTACTTCCTGCAAATATTGAGCAAAACAATTCTTCAGAAGCGAGGAGAAAAGACCACTCTGATTTGTAAAGCTACACCATCTCATGATTTTCCTTACAGAAGATCTACGTTGAACTTTTCTCCACAAGTTTCTTGTGGTCCTTCTGTTATAATTTTGAAATGTTAGTAGTCCTATTCTGTAACATTTACAGTAAATTCCCCAGGGAAAGTTTGTCATAAAGCTTTGCAGTCCATGTGTTGTTTTGGACCTGGACAGAACTGATCAAAGAAGATAATTGTTTAAGCAGGCAGCCAGCCATAGGCTGTTGTTGTTTAGACTTTTTTTGTTTGTTTAAAATGTTGCTGGAGATCATGATGCAGCAGAACTCTGGCTTCTGAGAATTCACCTGCACTTCTGCACTACTCTGCACTTCTGACAAGCCAGAGTTACCTTAAAGCCACCAACAAAGTTTAAGAAATAACGTACTGAGAAGAGAAAGAAGCAGTAAACTGAATACTGGAAAACAAAAATCAACAACAGACAGCTTGAGGGCCTTTTCTGATTGTAACACAATCAACAAGACACATAAAAACATGAAACTGATTTAGTTCTTTTTATAGTTCTTAGGCAAACATGAAAATTGATTTAGTTCTTTTCATTGAGGGGAGAAAAAAAAATAATTAAAAAAATCACTTAACCTCCAACTGATAATTTTGGACTTCCCCTCTGTAAATTGATCAGTATACAGTCCAAGGCATAATCAAGACTTATGTCATAAAATTACATAAGGAATGCCAGTTAGGTTCCTTGGTGAAACTTTTGTCAATGCTGATGTAAAGACTGAATTCCTGAGTTCTTAGTGAGTTAGCTGGCCTCTTCAGACAAAACTGTCAATTTAAAAAACCCCACAAACGCACAAGCTGATTTTTGGACAATTATTCTTGTATCTAACAACAACAAAAAAAATTTGGCCCCAAACACAGAACTTCATAAAATTAGCTTCTTTTTGACTTACCACTTCAGAAAAAGGAAGTTATTTTGCCATAGGGGTCATTGACTCTACCTTGAACAGCAGCACAGCATGCTCATAGTGTGTATTTTTGTAGGAAGGGAGAACAAAGAAGAAATCACTATATAGTTGAAGTTTCAGGGTGAAAAGGGAAAAGAGGGTCAGTTTTAAACTGTTCAAAACATGCAAAGTTCCCTTCCCATTTGATTTAGACTGGTACAAAACACAAGTGTTTTCACTAGGAACACCCATATGCTTCCTTGAAGTTTGGAATCAATTCAAGCTGAAAGGCAAGCTAAAAATGTTATGGGGTAATGGGCAGAAAGATGTCGAGCCTTATCCTTAACACAGTGTTACCCCAGAGGCAGAACTGAAGTAAAATATGACCTCTTGGATTAGTCTAAGATAAAAAAGACAGGCAGCAAATAATGAAAATAGTTCAGTTCTGTCAAATTACAGCAAATACATATAAACTTGTTTTGGGCATCTATGCATTTGGATAATGAAAGAAATTTCCAGAGATGGTGCAGTGCCTACGTCTAACCTCAACATCACCTAAAACTTGTTCTCTACTAAATTAAACTCATAAATGTGGACCTTGTGTTACAGGCTACATTATAGGCTTTACAAGAACAGTGATCACATAGACAATCACAATGATAAATTGGCTTTGTTCTAGCTATAAGGGATACCAGCAGCAGCAACACAGCTGCAATAGTACAGCTTTAAGTTAGTAAGTACAACACAGGACACCTGGGCATCCCATTAGATTTCATGTTGCCATAGCTTCAATTCTAACATATCTACATTACCAAGAAAAAAATTAGCTTGGGTTTTATCTACATGTTTCAATCATACTCAACTGTTCTATAAACAGAGCTGCAGACAAGCAAATGCAGTTAGCACAGGGTACAGCAAGGCTTTCTTAAAAAAAAAAAAAATTAAACCCAGCGTCTTTCATGATCTTCATACCATATCTGTTTCATTTCTGGTCAACTACTTACTAATACCCTACAGTACAATAGCAAGATAGAAGACACAATCCCTTAACTGTCAAAAGTAAAGATTTTACAGACATCGTGGCTGCTTCACACCAACGAGGTGGCTAATCTCACCAACAAGCTCACCAAAAGCAGCCTTGGAAAAGGGTTTCTTTGAAAGACAGCACTGATAATACAGTCCCTTGAATGGGGCCAGCAGAGGTAACAGATCTGGGGACACTGAGACAGAGGATTACCAGCTAAAGGCTCTGTGCCACAACAGTGCAATCTATAATATTGAGTTATACAGACAGGAAATCCTAGTTTGCCTGACTTTTTAAATTTTATTTAACAGCCTCCCCCCCCTCCAAACTGGGCAGTTTTCAATAATTATCATGTTCTTAAAGCATTTTCTTTCTGAGAAAGAGATTACACCGAGACAGACCTGAAGAAAGGTTAATCATCTTTCACCCACCTGCAAGGAAGATCAACAGTCAGAATCTGCATCACCAAACGGTTTTCAGCTGTGGTTTAACAGGGAAACAATGCTGGAGGACTGCAAGGAACTACAAACCAATTTACATTGCCCTGACTGCAGGCAGTAGGTAAAAACTCAGTTACTACCTTCATATCCCCAAATTTACACTGAATTTCAGACCAGCTCAAGACTAATTGCACCTTAGGGCTAGCAGATCCTAGGGCTATTACAAGCAAGGCTTTAATTCTGACTGAAGCATTACCTCTGCTACAAAGCTGACTGAGTGGGGAAAAATGCCAGTAAGACTCCTATGTAAGAAATAGAATGTGGCATGTGGGCCACTGCCCACAGCATGTTCCCAAATGCATTTCCTTGCTGCAGTGTTCAGGAGGTGCAACTATGAGGTCTAAGGCCCATCATCTCCTCAAGCAACATCCTAGCCTGAACTCTCTCTCCTGGGATCCAAAGTAGTCTCCCTGCTGTGCAAGTAACAGGGCACTTTGTAACAGTCAGCTTGTTCACTCAGACTCACAGCTTCTAATACCTAGGTGACAAAACTGTAGCCTCAATTTATGCTGAGACACATCTAAAAGACCATAGGCATCCATGAAACATCAGATCAGCCACCCCTTCAGCATTAATAGTATCAGGACAGGGTACAGAGTAATGCCCTTCAAGTGATGCACACATATGTGCTTGTGTATATATGTGTGGGCATGTGTACACATGTTATCTATATGTAGTACAGAGATACACAAAGTCTCAAAGACTCAAGGACAAACTTGAATTTGTCTTTTACCACTTTAAATGCAGTTAAATTATTTTTCACTCTGTTTTGGGGTTGTATGGTGGGGTTTTGGTAGTGGAGGAGTGGCCACAGGGGTGGATCCTGTGAGAAGCTGCTAGAAGTTTCCCCAGCTCCAGGTCAGACCCGCCTCTGGCCAAGGCTGAGCCCATCAGCGATGCTGCTATCGCCTCTGGGATAACATATTGTCATGATTTCAGCCCAGCCGGTAACAAAGCACCATGAAGCTGCTCACTCACTCCTCCCTCCCCGGCCACAGTGAGGAGAAAACATAAAGAAAGGCTCATGGGTTGAGATAAGGACAGGGAGGGATCACTCACCACTTATGGTCACAGGCAAAAGACAGGCTCAACTTGGGGAAGAAACTAAATCAATTTAATTTACCACAAATCAAAGCAAAACAAGGATATTAGGAAGTAAAACCAAACCTTAGAACACCTTCCCCCCACCTCTCCCTCCTTCCCACCTCAACCCCACTCCCGGTTCTCTCTCCACCTCCTCCCCGTGGCCATGCAGCGGGACGGGGAATGGGGGTTGGGGTCAGTTCATCACACCTTGTCTCTGCAGCTCCTTCATCCTCAGGGGGAGGAGGACTCCTCAGCCATCCCATGCTCCACCGTGGAGGTCCCTCCCACAGGAGACAGTCCTTCATGAACTTCTCCAACGTGAGTCCTTCCCGTGAGTCCTTCTCATGGGCTGCAGTTCTATATGAAGAAGTTCGTGAAGGACTGTCTCCCGTGGGAGGGACCCCACGGTGGAGGAGAGGATGGCTGAGGAGTCCTCCTCCCCCTGAGGAGGAAGGAGCAGCAGAGGCAACCTGTGATGAGCTGACACCAACCCCCACCCCCTGTTCCCCAGTGCCGCTGGGGGGGAGGAGGTAGAGAGAACCAGGAGTGGAGTTGAGCCTCGGAGGAGGGAGGGGTGGGGGGAAAGTGTTCTAAGATTTGGTTTTACTTCTTGTTATCCTGTTTTGATTTGAATGGTAACAAATTAAATTGATTTTGGTTTCTCCCCAAGTTGAGTCTGGTTTTTGCCTGTGAACATAATCGGTGAGTGATCCCTCCCTGTCCTTGCCTCCACCCATGAGCTTTTTGTTAATATCTTCTCCTCCTCATCCCACTGGGGTTGTGGGAGGAGTGAGCGAGCAGCCTCATGGTGCTTCGTTGCCGGCTGGGCTTAAACCACGACACACTTGCTTTCTGAAGTCTAAGTGAGATACCTTGCTTAACATTATGTCTTAAACTCCGGGAAGAACATCAGTTCTTGTAATAAGCAAGAAAGAAAGAGTGCTGCACTCTCCAGCTATGACAGGAAAGGGATTGTTTTCCTTCTAAACCCATGTATTAAACTGAACAGCAAAAAGAATCTTCAGAATTTCATGGTTTCTGCCTAATTTGTCCATTGTAATAAAATGAGAATCAACATCAGGTTTGAATGGCCTGCTTCATGCCTGCCAATATTAAACAGTCCAAACTTACACAATGCTAGTCCAAGGGAAAAAAGAGGTGGTAGTTCAATCCTTTTAATTCAGTCATTTCAGAGCTACTGGAAGTATCTCATCGCTTAAATGAATGATACTGATTAGTACACTCATTGCCTCCCCTCCCCAGCACCAGTCTGACTAGGAAAACATCTGTGTATGCCACCTGTACTACTAAACTTACTTTAGAGTGGTGCTGTTGAGCCTCACTAACTTGCATAATGTCCTGGTTTCAGCTGGGATAGAGTTAATTGTCTTCCTAGTAGCTGGTACAGTGCTATGTTTTGAGTTCAGTACAAGAAGAATGTTGATAACACTGATGTTTTCAGTCGTTGGTCAGTAATGTTTAGTCTAAAGTCAAGGATTTTTCAGCTTCTCATGCCCAGCCAGCGAGAAAGCTGGAGGGGCACAAGAAGTTGGGAGGGGACACAGCCAGGGCAGCTGACCCAAAGTGGCCAATGGGGTATTCCATACCATGTGATGTCACATCTAGTATAGGAACTGGGGGGCGTGGGGGCGGGGGATCGGCACTCGGGGACTAACTGGGCGTTGATTGGGCGGGTGGTGAGCAATTGCACTGTGCATCATTTGTACATTCCAGTCCTTTTATTATTGCTGTTGTCATTTTATTAGTGTTATCATTATCATTATTAGTTTATTCTTTTTATATTCTATTAAACTGTTCTTATCTCAACCCATGAGTTTTACTTCTTTTCCAGATTTTCTCCCCCATCCCACTGCGGGGGGGAGGGAGGGAAGTGAGTGAGCAGCTGCCTGGCACTTAGTTGCTGGCTGGGATTAAACCAGGACACATAATCAGAAGAGTTCTGGGGTAAGTATTAGATTTGCAGGCTAGAGTTTGCAAAGTAGCAAATGCATGGAAACAAAGTCTGAACTGGAGGGAGTTTAGACTGTTAATCAACCAGTCCCTTTAAAAAGCCTGTGAGTTCAGTAGAGTATATATATTCTGGTGAGATACAACCATGGATGGCCAGTCTACTTGAAAAGATGCAAGGAAAAGAATCAAGAGGTGTTCCAGGAGCCTAAACTTCCAAAAGAAAGTAATGCAAACCACTCCTGCAGATGTCCATCATCTGCTAGTCAACAATACTCCTCTGTTTGCGACACACTATTTAGATTTTAGATGTTCCTTCTAATTCAAGAGTCTTTCAAACTGCAGTGAAGAAGTTACTTAACAGGTAAACAGAGTATTTTGCTATTACAATGAAAAAGTTAAGAGGTGAGTTCAAGAAATGATACAGCTACTTGGGCTGGTCAGGTATGAGATGGCTACAAATTAACTGTATTATAGCACTTAGCAATTTTTTTTTCTTCCTATGCATACAACTCTGACCATGAAGAAGAAATATGTTGTATCTTGCCTGGGGGTTGCAGCTGTGCAAGCTGCTTATAATGCATGTTAGAATTGCCATTCTTCCTTCTTTTCCTCCACTCTTCTTTTTATAAATTAAAAAAAATTGAAATTCCCCAGGTTTCCCAGAGGTTTGCATTCATTTTAACTTCTGTTGTGGCAAGAATTTATTACATACTGGGAAGAGCTAATATTTTTCATTTCTGTGATATGGCACACCATTGTTAACTTTTAAGCAACTCCTGAGCATATAGTACACATATCTAAGAGGCTCTGGATGACATCCTAGCCAGGAAGCAGCCTAAAGTCACTAGACAAGAAAAAAAGTAAAATGCCTCCTAAACTTCTCTTCTCCCCTTCCTCGTGCTTCCTCTGCCTGCCAAGAAATCCATGCTCTTGTTCAACTGCAGACAGCATAGGTCTGCTGGTATTTTCTGACTTGTGGTCTCCCCTGTCCACCCGCTGTCTCATCAGCCTCACTGGTAAACCTGCCAGCCCCTTCTCCTCACCATAATGCCCAGCTGAGGGATGCTGTCCTCAATTCCACATACCCAGTGAAAACTTTTCTTTTCTAAGCATCGGAAAACATGGTAAGAGTCTGCAAGAAAAGCTCCCTCAGCTTTTCCTTCAGCTATCAGGAAAACACACTGCATGCTTAATAGTCAGCAGGAAATGGGATGAAAATGATACAACTGTAAACTCACAATGAAATCTGGGCCCATGTTTATTTCATGTAAGTTAGGTAGACCTTCCAGTCACACTCCTGACTGAATGACACCTCTCAGATGTTTTAGGAGAACAGGAAAGAAACCTAAAGGAAAGACTTGGTATTTTAAAAACTTAATGTCTGATATATTTTTAACAATGGCAGAACTTAAAATAGGAACAAAGAAAGTTACTTTAACACAGCAAAAGGCCTGAATACTGAGGCAGGCCTCTAAGCTTCATAAACAAAGCTCATCTATAAATCAGTACTGAAGAAGGAACTTTTTACCTGAGGTTTCTGCTGTGTCTCTCTCTACAAGTCTGCATAAATACTTCAATACTTCAAACAAAGAACATCTGATTTAAATGTAATGATTTAAATTTACAAATACAAACTGGACTGCTTACTCCAGGAACTGTCCACAAAATGGCCCTCACAGTAGTGGTTGGAATATAACCCCAGCTACACACTCTTTTCCTGTGCTTGCAAACAAACTTATAATAATGGCCCCATCACCTCATAGAGGAAACCACTGTGGCCTAGCTGTTGCCCTCCTCCTTCTGCATTAACTTTAGCAGCTCCATCTTTTCTAGTGAAGAGTGGGAACAGCTATGCTTCAGATGGACTGGTAACCCACAGGCTTGACCACACTGTTTCACCCCCTTTGTAGCAGTCTCACACAGGGAGAGGCCACTGCTTTGGTAGCCAT